GAAAAGGAAAGAAAGAGAGTGACATACATATATACAAGTGCATTATTCAAATGTAAACCAGTTTACTTTGTTAAACTGAAGAAGAAGGAAGTTTCCTTCGAAACGTCGTAAATAAACAATCGGAAAAAAGGGAAGAGTAAACTATCGATATAGATTAATCTCCTTCGTCAAAAACTGTGTACAAAAATGTCAAAAGATTTTTTAGTGTACAGAAAGCAGCAAACTGTGCATAATTCTGGAAAAAATCGTGCACAAAAAATTCGTCGTCCAAAAAAATAACTTTTTGGGTTTTCTAGAATTCTGAATAAGGCATGATTTAAAAATCTCTCAATTTGTTTTTGTTATTTTAAAATGTCTGAAATGTTTTTTCTGACATGAAAAAACTTCAAACGTTCTTCACAACATAGTTTAGTTCATTTTAGGAAATAAAAATTAGTTTTTTGATAAGAATAAGAACTGTTTTAAATAGTTATGATATGGTTCAAATGGTTATATCTTTTTAGAGTTCTTTTGAAATACTTTTTCTTTTTAGAAAGTGTTTGTATGTAAGTGTCATATATGTACTAGAGAACGTTCAACAGTTATTGAAAAAAACATAGCAGTACGTTTAAATTTCTTTATTGTAAATATCACGTATTTTTGGTGAGATAAAACGTTAATTATTTTTTCTCGTTTTCACACATACAACAACGCTAATAGGTTGAGAATTCTAATAATCGTATGAAAACAACAATTCTCGCTTTTTTATTTTAAAAAGTCCGAAGAATTCGATTACGATCGGTAATCATTATCAGCACTGGAATAAAGAGCTTTCGATATTCTTTTGTTTCTTTTCCTTGCAGTATTCAACATATGTTCATACGAACAAAAAGGAAAAAGAATGAAAAAAATGAGTGAATAATGAAGAGCGAAGAGAAAAGGTCAGAATGAAGAAAAACGTGTTTTTTAAATAAAAAAATCGATGACTGTTGTTGTTTGCATACGATTGTTATTATCTTTATTAAATTATATTACAATAAACAATATCGGTATTCATTGAGGATTCTAATGCTGATTTTAACTGAATTATGATGAACTATACAATAAGAGTAGTCTCTTTGCGTTCATAAGCGGCGGAACCACTAGGCTGGGTAAGGCTCAAGCGTTACCCGAATTTGGCACAATTAGGCTGAACCTTATCCCATTTCACTACTGGATACGGATATTTACACATTTTGTGTTTTTATTGGCCCGGAATGGCTATTTTCTAGCTAAAGAAATTCATTTTTGTTAGTTGTGTATCGAGATGGAGATTAGATGTGGCTTAGCCTCAGCTCCAGACGTTTAAATACCACCAGTTATAAAAGCTTTTCTGTTCAGTACTATGACTGTGTAGTTTTTCAAAGAAAAAGAACCTTATAAAAAAGTAACCTACTAAGAAAGAACCTACGAATAGAGAATAAAATAGGCAATAACCGTTGTAGGAAATGTGATTGATAACTAAACCGCGTCCAGCCCATTTAGCTTTCTTGCTCATAGCAGATAATAAAAAGATTCCTGCATAAAATCTTTTGATATTTTTAGCTGCTGTAAGCTTTTCACTGCCTTCGGCGGTGTGTTTCTCATGCTTTTTTAAAAAGAAAAATGAGATTTATTCTCAAGAAAACAGCTTAAAAAGAGTAGTCGGAAACGTGTCAAAGTCGATTTGCCACTTTACAGCGTATAAGAAACGTTTCTAAACCTTATTCTGGTTTTTCACTATGATCGAATAGACTCGATTTCTAAAAGCTTAGGAGTAAATTTTACATTTGACCTTTTTCAGTTCATAAAAAGGTTGAGAGTAACCTCAATGCTTTTTTCTAGTTACGCCACTAATTTTAATAGAGAAAACGTGTTTAAATTCTCACCGTTTCGGAAGCAAAGAGCACAAAAGGCGCCATTTAGGCTGAGAAATTTTATTTTTTCTACTAGAAATCATTATCATATACACCTCTGCTTTTTATTAATAACTAAAAATATGGGAAAAATTCATTTTGCAGAAGAATGCCTTAAATTGAGCATTACCATTTAAAATCATTCCGCCGCCTCTGTTTGTGTCGTTGTTCTTGCTATGTGGTAAAGGTATTTTTTTCCTTTCTTAGTTTTTTCGTTGTTGTTTTTTTTTTATTACAAAAGGCTTTTTAATTCACTAAAATATCTATAGAATTGTTTAGAAACAACTCTTGATAAGTAAAATGATATCGTATTTATAATTATATGACGTAGATAACCGAAAATACTAATTTCACAAAACATATGCTTAAATATACACCTACTGATCCTCATGACTTAACAATGATAAGGACGATTTGAATTTGAAACTAAAACATTCAAAGTTGTTTTAAAAAAGTTTTTCCTTGCAACAACTTGTGACAATCAGTGCATAAACAGTCAAAATTCTTCTAATATAAAAATTAGAAAGTTGAGAAAAAGCTATTGAGACAGATAAAAGACAGAACAAGTTTTTTTAATGATGCTGATAACATTCATTAATTAAATCACACATTTCATCGACTCTGCTGTTGTTGTTTTTCATATAAAATCTGAACCTGCTTTAAACTTCATTCTTTCAGAATATAAGAAGAAATATGTCCACCATATGGAGTAATTTAGAATTTGAATTGTCAAGCAGTACAACATTTATTTTGTACGACAAAGGGATTAAATTAAGTTTGCAGTAAACAACATCTGTACTTAATATGTCCATGAAACATGTCTCGAACTAGATAATGAATCACAAATAATTAAAATATAACTTTGAAAAACGAGAGTTTTTATTTAGAAATGTCTCAAGTGTAGTCATTTCAAATTTTGACACTTTTCTATTTATCATATTCTTTCTCTTTTTCTCTCTTTCTCTCTCTCTCTCTCTCTCTCTTACCTGATACATTTTATGTTATAAAATAGTAGCATACGAGAAAATAAACATATGTTCTATACGAGATTTAACTAATAAAATATATTTGATATTTTTTAATCACAATACACACGATAAGTAAAACAAAATATCCATTTTATTAATATGAAAATGTGTTCGAGGTACACAAAATTATTCTTATCATCTGTGCTCTAATCACAAATGGAACTATAAAACACACTTTCTGATAAGTCAGATGAGAGTGTACAATATACAACATGCAAAAAAATGTTTCTATTGGAATAGTTTATAACGAAATTGAGGATAGGGAGGAGAAGAAGAAAAAAAATTGGAGAATGATGAATAAAATTCTCTATGTTGAATGAAACACATCAAGTTAGCATTGATGCTAATTAGACAGATACGTGATTGTGATGCAATGTCAATAGTAAAGTTAGAAATATATATCTTTTTGGATAGAAGAATCAAAATCTTCAGAAAAAACAGAATAATATATATTTTGCATACTATTTCACAGTAATACGTTCAAAAAATAGACAAACAGAAAAGAAACCACACAATATTTATTCTGCAGGGAGAGAGAGAGATCGCAGAATTTAGAGATTTTTTCTGAACTGGAAGAGGAAACAAGAATATACTATTTTAGTTTCTTTCTTTTCTATTTAGGTTTAAATGATTTTCTTGTATGAATAATAATAATAATAACAATGATTTTTGGTAACAATACAACGACAACAACACCATTATTATTAACCGTAAACACACCTGGTCTTCGACTATTAATTGCTATTGTGTGTGCTTTTCTTTATATATTGGGTTATACAGGCTGTTTATTATCTATAATTACATTTAGTAGTAAAAAATTACGTAGACATTCAACTGGTTTTTTATTTCTTATTATGGCATTCGTTGATATATTTAATTTAATTGCGAGTTTACAATATGTTTTTGATGTTATCTATCAAATTAATGTATTTGAATTATCCATACATTTATGTCGATTTATAACCATGTAAGTATAGACATATTTATTCTATAGGATTCTATAGTAAATGAATAAATTTAGAATGATACAGATAGGCTATTAATTTTTTGATCGTGAATAAAAAATAAAAATAAAAAATTCGTATTTTCTAAACAAGTAGAACAAGTGAAAGTGTTTTACAGATCCTTTAAGTATCTATATCACATCATACTTATCAAATTAAAGCTTATAATCCACTTTTTATTCATTTAACATTCTTAATCCATTAGAATTTTTTCAAAAAATTTGATATAATTAGATGAAATTATTTTTTCATAAAATATTCGTATTCAACATCGAGTTTTATCTTGTAATTAGAGAATATACATTTTAACAGCAATTATCGTACTCTAATTGAACTGTACATCCTCCTATTTTCTTGTTTGATCAAATAGCATTATATTCAACGGATAAAAGAAAGATGTTTAGTTGAAAAATTAGTTTTTTTTCTGCTCAAATAGTTTCATCAAATGAAACGGAAATAACATCGTTTGTTTGTTTTTTTTTCCTTCTTTTTTTTCCTTTATTTCTTCTAAAATGATACGTTTACATTTAATTTTAAACAAAACACATTTTATTCAATACAATAGAATTTTTTTTCTTTTCTTTTTTTCACTTTAGATGTAATTATGAAATTTATTTTGGTTTTTCCTGGATATTTGTATTTATTGCACTTGATCGTTGGATTAAAGTTGAATGGCCAACAAAAAGTCAAAAATTATGTACACGTAAAAATTTTATTTATCTATGTTTAATTACATTTATTTTATCATTAGGACAAAATATTCTTTATACATTTTTATGTTTTAATGAACATTGTAGTCAATCAAATATTATTTGTGAAATATTTATACATGTTATTTATATTACATTTTATATGACAATACCTATTGCACTTATTCTTATTTCAATTATTCGTACATGTACAATAACATTAAATTTAAAAAAACGTTTTCAACAATCATCATCAATAATTAATACGTCAATAAATACTCATAGACAATCAACAATATCAAATCGTTTATCAACAACACCTATTCCAATTATTATTTCAAATCAAACGAGTATAACAACAACAACAACAACAGTATCAAATGAACAATATCCATTAAAATCTTATTATCATCATCCAAATAGTTTATCACAAATACATTTACAATCACGACAACGACGACGTCGATTAGATAATCAAATGGTTATGTTAATTACAATTAATGTAGCACCATGTATTTCTGTACACATAATTACTGAAATTGCTTATTTAATAGAAAAATATTCAACTATTGTTAATAAATCAACAATAGCAAAATTAATTATTATACTTATTTATTTAAGTTGGTATTTAATATCGGCAACACGTTTTTATACAAATTGTCTTTTATCTCGAATTTATCGTGAAGAATTTAAAAATCGTTTACATTTATTAAAAAATGGTTGTAAATCACGAACAGTTATTAATAAAAAATCATCTAATTATCAAAATTATCGACATACTGCAAGATTTTATACGGGTAATGATTCAATAAGTTTAAATATAAAACCACAACAATATAATTCAATTAAATAAAAATTATTTATTTTATTTTCTTCTTTTTTTTTTTACTTTACGGTGTATGTTATAGTCTATGAGAATTTCCGTCCATATATTATGTATGCTCTTGTATACATTCAATTGTTGTGTTATTGTATTACATACGTTTTTAAATATAATAAAGTTAATTTTGGTGTTTCAAAAGGGATAAAAGATAAAAAGTAAATAAATTTTATATTTAAGAGAAAATATTTTCCAACTAATCTAACTGCATAGAGACATTTATTTGTTCTAATAAAGATAATTATATAAAATTTTCTCAAATGAGTAGTTGACCTTGAAAGAATGGACAATAAATTAAACAAAATTGATTTCTATTTTGAAATAAGACTGACCATCTCTTTGCAAAGTAAAGAATATTCAATCAATTTATTTGTAAATTTCAATCTGTTCTATTAGTGGTGAAACGTTTTAAAAATAGACCTTTTGCTCTTTCTATCAAATGTTTATCAAAGTCCTTTAAACAGTAGAAAAGTTCATCTTACTTTGAACACGAATAAAACTGTATAAAACAGAAATGACATAAAAAGTACGGAAGAATTAAATTTTGAATCAATTTTCTTCTTGTATTTTTGAATGCATGCGTTTCGAGTCTCTCGACTCCATCATCTATGATCTGTTCCCAATGATACACGAAAACTAAGTATGGAATAGGTAATTGTCGGTATCGGTACTTGTGTGGTACTGGTACCGAGCGTTCGTTACCAACCATTGGAACCGTGCCGAAAGTACCAAAGCTTTTTGTACCAACTCGGTTCCGGTACCGAAAGTACCGAAGTTTTTTTCATTATCTAAATTTTTTGAACTCATAAGAAGCTTTTTTCATCTTAAACCGCGAAGACTCCCGTTCCTTAATTTTTATCGTAAGTATCGAATTTTTCGGTACTTTCCCAGAAGGTATCGAATGATTCGGGTACCGAACCGAAATTTTCGGTAATGTGCCAGAACAGTACCAGTACCGATACCGAAGTACTGATAATTCTCTAGTATGGAGGGATTTTAAGAAGACCAATGTTGAAGTTTTGCTGTGTTCGTTCCTAAATTTTTGCTCTTTTGTCAAAAATAAAATATGAGAGATTATTAAAATTCTTTATTACAAGCATATTGGAAAGAAAAACATGATGTCATTTATCTAAGTAAAGACGCAAATAAGGTGATATCTCTTTTTGCATATGTATATCTTTCTGTTCTCTTTTCTTTATATCAACACAACACTCTGAGACGACACACAAATATCGGCACATGGGATATATCTTATATGAAAAGAAATATTTCCTCCTTATTTTCTAGTTTTCTAATGTTTTGATAAAATAAATGTTGCCTACACAAAGCTAGTTAGTATTAAAAACAAACTATTGAGAATGTAGAAATACATCTGTATAAAATGTTAAACAGAACATACATCTGTCATCATAGTTAAATAAATAAAAACAACAAAAAAAGAAAAGATTAGGTTATTATCGAGTCACTTATACAATATTTGCCTATCTCTAGAGACTATATATATATATATATAGATTTGATTTCTAATAAATATCATTAATTTATATGATGATTGAGAAAATATTTTCCATTGAGACTTAGGCCATTATAGAACTAAATATTTTCCATTAAACAAAAATTAGTTCTCTATTTCTGAATTGAAAAAATCTTAGACAACATATATATATATAGATTATTGTATTTTTAACGGAAAGGCCTGGGGATATATAGTGTAGAAAAACTCATATTCACTTGTAAAGAGAGAAATATTCGAGATAAAGTAAGTATTTATTAGGCGACGAAGTCATATTAATTGAAACTGTAGAAAGAAGAGTGTGTGTGCGTTATTTTCTACTTCTTCAGAATCAGAAATTCTTCGACAACTCCCGAGATATTGAAGTTGTCACCATCATTTTCATTGTCCAAAGTAACATGAGAATAAGCATCAATTTAATGACAGACTCTGTTACTGAGTTGAATTGAAGTATCCATTTTATTGTTAGTCATATTTACAAGCGTTTGGGGAGTTTCTGTTCAACAATTTTACCTGCCCAAGCAAAAACGACCCAATTTTTTGGGTTATTTATCTAGATTCAGTTCCACGTGCATCTAGATGTACGTGGAGTTGAATCTAGATAAATAACCCAAAAAATTGGGTCGTTTTTGCTTGGGTGTATTCTGTTGTTCTACTATATTTTTCATTAACGATTGAGACAAATTAGTGATAAAGTTATGATGCACACACTAACATCATTCGTCATATTATTTGTATGTTCTTAACGATTAAAATTTTCCATAATCGTTTTCACTGTGGTAAATATTGCACGTAATTCCCTCATGAATCGAACTAATTCATGCTTTTTAAGATCGTTGAGACTCCTGTGAGCTTTATTGATTGACTTTTTATAATTTTTAATTATTTTGTCAAAATGTGATAGAGTAAGAATGTTTGATGATTGAGGGCGGTTATTCAGCAGAAATTGTTTGCACAGAATTTGCTAAAGTAAACAGAACAATAAATCAGTTGATTTTTATGATCAGTTTTGGGTGATTTATCAAAATATTATTTATTTTAAAAGATAAATGACATGGCTATTTTTTCAATTCAACTACACACTGAACTGTGTTTTTCATTTGTCCCAAAATAGAGATCAGATGTGAGTTTTCTGAAAATTTACACAACAGATTTTTTCAATTTCCAGAAGAACAAAAATTCATTTTTTCCTTTTTTTCGATCCCTATTTGGGACATTTATTTTCTGGAAAACATAAGGTTGAAAACTAGAGGTAGTACATTCCCGTTCCTTTCTAGAGTAACGGTAAAATGGTATCTTTTATTTCAAAAGTAAAGAGTAAAGATATAATGTATATCTTTTCTTTCGTAAGAAAAAATAAGGGGATATATTTTTTTGATCACTAAATTTCTTTTGATCGAAATGATCAGCAAAAAATAACATTTTGTATCACCAAATTAATTAAAGAAAATTTAAATTAAAGAAAACGTATATAAGAAGAATATATAACAATTAATTAACAATAATTACTAATTAATGAGTTAATAGAGAAGAAAAAGAATATAAAGAAAGTTTAATTTACCAATATACGATTGAACATGAAGAAACATTATATATTCAAATATATACAAATAAAATATATTAGTGTTATATTTTTGTAGCCAGTCATAAAGTGCAAGTCTGAACCCATGCTGATTTTTCTCGTATGAACTAACTTCAATTTCTTGCCGTCTCGCTGCAAGAATGTTGTTAAGTGGCTCACCTTCACCACTCGCCGCCCCCCGCCACCACCTCTGTTGTTCAAGTTCTTATATTCTTCTAGGAGGATTTTTTTTAAAAAAGTTTTCGAAAAATTCGAATTTTTTACTCTTGTTCCCGGAAATAAACATTGAAAATCTATCATTCTTCATGCTTAACTGCAAGATTGTCGTTTTCGGTTCAGAAATATAACATTAACGATAAAATTTCTAAAAATTTCAACCGTTGAAATTAAACTTTTGTTCTGCTCATATGTCTTCTTGTATATACTTTCTTTATATCCTTTTTCTTGTCTGTCTACTCATTAATTGGTAATCATTGCTAATTAATTGCTATATATTCTTCTTATACATATAAGAAAGATATCGCTTTTTCTTCTTTTTTTGGAAAAGAAAAGATGTTTCACTTTCCTTTTTCTTAGGAAAGAAAAGATATGCATTAAAAATACGCTTTTTTGTTATAAGAAAAAGGAAAACTTTTCTTTCGTTAATCGAAAAATAGAGGTAAAAAAGAGAAAGTGTCACGCCTACGAAAAACACATTTCTATTCTTCGACTTTTTCAAAAATTCTGGATCATCTTAATTTCTCTTTTCACCAGCCAATTTTTTTTAATCAATACGATATCTGTGATCATATGCAGAATTATTCTTTTATTTAGTATAAATAGAGTCAACTAGAAATCTGCACAAGTAGAGAAAACTATGTAACCCACATCCTAACTCGAAGTTTAAGCTTTTGCAAGAAAAGATCATGTCCTTTATATATATTACGAATAGCAAAACAAAAGCGGTGATTGAAATATATGATTTTCTTTTCCTTTTTCAACTTTGAGATTTTCAGAGAACTCAAAAGAAATATTGTGTTTTCCAAATCCTGGAAAACAAAATATCTGTAAAACTAAAATAAGCCGAAAAACTGAAATGAGTGAAAAACTCATTTTTGATTGAAAAAATAGAAATTAAATTCTTCATATTTCAAAGAACTTAAATGAGATCTTCAATTCGTTCTCTGAAAACACGAAGAACACATTTTTTTTAGAGTGTAATGCTAAAACAACGGACACGAATACTTTTTGTTATAGCGCTGCCTATATATTGCGACAAATGCGAGTTCTTCATCTACCACATTTGGGGCGTTTAGTTTGTCAATTATTTCGAATTTATAGATTTCAAACAAAAATTGGTTAGCGAGAGATTCTAGCCAAAATAATAGCTGCAGTATCCGTTTGCATGTACATTTATCGAATTGCAAGTGAATTGCAATCGTGTTGTACGCTCCGTCGGCTAATTTATTGAACCCATGCGTAGGTAGATACAGCATTCATTGGCATAGTTTATCTCATTTATGAATCTAACCAAATGAAAATTACAAAATATTCTTACTTCTGGTATATTTGGAATCAGCACAAAAACTGCGCCGAATGATGTATAATTCAGCCGCCTTTGTACTGAAAATTTTGAATTTAGTGATTCCTTCGTTTCTTGCATGTACGTATAGGGATTTTCGACCGAAATTTTAAAATTTGAAATTATCAACAAATGAAATCGTCCAAACACTATTGCAATAGGTTATCAATGATTCTGTATCCAATGCAATTGTTTTCGAATTTTTTAAAGGTTTTCTAAGTGGTTTTCTAGAGACCGGATCTCTGGAAAAACACTTAGAAAATCCTTTTAGAATTCGACAAGCATTCGATTAGACACACAAAATAACCTATAGAAAA